ATACATAAAGTCATGTAGGTGCACACATATAGATGCTAATAAATAGATAATAGATAGATGACAGACAGACAGATGATAGATAACAGACAGATAGATGATAGATGACAGACATATAGACAGACAGATAGATAGATAGATAGATAGATAGATAGATAGATAGATAGATAGATAGATAGATGATAGATGACAGATAGAAAACAGAAATATGGATAGATGATAGATTGATAGAAATAGCTAGATGACAGATTGATGATAGATAGATAGATAGATAGATAGATACATAGATACATAGATACATAGATACATAGATATATAGATAGATGACAGATATCTAAAATTAATTAATAAATGAGCAAAAATTTTAATAAGAATTTCCATTTTATAACAAAGTTCTCATGAGCTAGATATGGTGGCTCACACCTGTAATCTTAGCAATAAGGAGTCCGAGGCAGGAAAATTGCCTATAAGTTTGGGGGTCCATGGGCTCTGTAGTAATTTTGAGGTCAACCTCATAATAAGTTTTAGTCCCCAAGAGCTATATAAGCAAGATTCATCCAAGATAAAGACATGCATGTACACAAATTAAAAAAAAAAAAAACCTCTCATGCCCAGAAGGGTCTCTATTCAGGGTCTCTATTCAGCCTAGCTGCAGCATTGTCCCTCAGCTGAATGCCTTCACCAAGGTGGCCACTGGGGTGAGTTGCTGCCCCTGTGCAGGCTCCCCATCAGTGGAACTGTTGATGTCTCTACAGGGGCAGACCTGTAAGGTGTGGGAGGCTTAGCAACATCTCAGCCTCTTAGGTATCATTTAGAACAGTCAAAGCTGTCACTAGACATTAGCCTTTGTTGGGGAGGGAATTGCATGCCCAGCAAACCACAGCTTTATTGGCTTGCAGAGCCATGCCATCTTTCCTGCCCCATTGATGGAGCTGTAACCATTTAGCTGGGACATGCTCCCAAGTGTGTCAAGTGCTCAGTCATAGCTTCCTAGGAGAAGCAACTCTCCTTCAGCTTGCAGTCCAGGTGACCAACTTGCCCTTAGCCAGTGTGTATGTTGGAAGCGCCTGTAAGGGATATAGACAAAAACCATACAATATACACAAAGAATGTGTTTTCAGAACTGAATCTTCTCTGTCATCCCAATGTTACCACAAGGTGTCCTCATGTGTGGCCTTTGTCAACAGAGGGAGAATGTGCTTGGGCTGAAGTGCTGAGTGGGCAGAAGGAGTGGCCTAAATGCCACCAGATGAGATCTCTGATGACTGGCTGACAGAAATCCTACCTAACTTCAGCTTCATGCCCTCATGAGCAGCAGCAGGTTGAGATGGCACACAGAGGGTACTATATGGCTTTCCGATCCTTTGGGGGAACAGTCCCAGCTTCCTAACCAGTGTGCTGATGTTGATGTTTTCTCTGGCCTGAGGCCTGCATCCCCACTGGAGAGAGAAGGGAATAACCCAAAATCTACAAACACCCCAGAGTGGATGGAGGGTTGAATCAGTGAGTCATCAGTTCCTAGAACAGAAAAGAGCTCTTTGGAACGCGCTCACCCAGGGTGAGGTGGGGGAGAGCTGGCTGATAGAGGGAGTCACGGATAGAAATTGGTGCCTCTTGTCATTACAAGAGGATTTACTACTCCACAGATAAGGAAGGGAGGTAGGGCACAAAGTGGAGAGCCAAAGAGACCTGTGAACCTTGCCCGGTAGCTCCAAGCCCCTCGTAAGAGTCCAGTCATCTAGTTATCCATATTTCCCAGGCACTGTAGACTCCCCCTATTTGCAAAAGCATGCCTTGGGACTACCCACTCGAAGACTGAAAGTCTGGTCCAGCAGAAGAAAGCAAGCTGAAGGCCAGCGCCTCAGAGCCTGTGGAAAGTCAGCGTGAAACGGCAACTGTGTAAGTGTTGAAACAAAAGAAAAGAAGGAACACTGGAGGTCCCTGGGAGTGCCATCAGCCTGGATTGGAAATAGGCAGTATAGTGCAATCTTAATTATTCTTATCAATAAAAACCCTGAGTCAGATATCAAGGTAAAAGATGAAAGATCAGAAAAGCAACAGAGCAGCCACAGTCACTTCTTCCTCTCCAAATCCTCTTACTGAAAGATCCTGTCTAAGCCCCACCTTACCACTTCCTATCTCCACTCCATATTGTCACTTCCTGTCTCTTCTCTATACAGACCTCCAGACCTCTATGGTTAACTAGTGGCCAGCTCCACCTTCTGTTCTACAGGCAAGCTTTATTTGTCAGAACACAAACAAAATACCACAACAAGACAGGGTTAGGCTGAGACACACAGCCAGTCATGATGTTTACTTCCTTGGTCTTGGGTCATCTACTATGGCTGTTCCCCTGGGACAATGACTCCTCTAAGAAATAGCCCTATCTTCCATGTACTCCTCCTGGGCTTCCTATGCCACCCCAGAGGTCTACCTAGAAAGTGGGGCTCCCTGTATACACCCAAGATGAGCAAGGATAGGGGGCATAGGCTAGAGTCTAGGGGGAAGCAGTAATGGACAGCGTCCACTCTTTCAATGTGAGACTCACCATGGAGGGGTAGGCCTGCTTTGAGAGGCTAGAGTCTAGGGGGAAGCAGTAATGGACAGCGTCCACTCTTTCAATATGAGACTCACCATGGGCAGTATCCCAAGGAGGGGTAGGCCTGCTTTGATGTTTTTTCTTTTTTCTTGGAGGCACTTTAGAAGCCCCTTTAAGTCTCATGTAGAGTATTCTAGAAAACCTGGACCACTTTGTAACCTGGTTGATGGTCCTCCTCACCCTGACTCTAAATATCAGGGTTTGCATGTCTCACCTGAGCCCCCCTTTCCTTCTTTCTGGATGGACTGTCAGTCCCTGTGGCTTTCAAAACTATGCTTGTCATCCAAATGTCAATGATACCCAAATGAGCTTCTCCAGTCTGGCAGGCATCCCTCAGAACATCTCAAACTACCATCTGGACACCACGTCTAGCTGTCTCATGAACAGCTCCATCCTGTCTGTCCAGGAGCGCTCTCCCATACCCACCCCACCCTCCCACCCTTGTCTGGCCAAATAGCATCACCTGACAGCTCACTGTTCTCTGACCCATTCAATCCATCATCATTCCTGTCATTTCTTCAACCGGCCCCTGGCTCCTTTTCTCTGCATACTAATTACAACCTAAAATGATCTCACTCTTGAATGTCTATCTGACCAAAATTAGAGAGGGCTGTGTCTCACTGTTGCTTACCAACTCATCCCTAGAATTTCTCCCAGGATCTGACATAATAAACACTTTATGGGTATCAGCTGTAGGAAGCAAAGGATTTACTGACAATGACTTTGTCCGGGATGAAGCAGCCATCATCAGTCTGGCATGTTTCCCACAGTGACAGCCCACTGAACTAGATGAGACACTGGGATGTCTCACCAGTCTGCTGACTTTTCCACAGAGAGACACCAGCCAGAAAAGTAACATTCCTGACTCAAAATGAGGTATGAGCCACAAACGCCCACCTTTCTAGAAGGTGGCTGAAGTGGCGCTGAAAGCTGGTTCTCTCTGGCCCTTGGTTGCAGGTTTTCTTTGTTTAACTGCCACTTCCCATCCCTGAGATACTCTCTACTTCAGCCTAAGGAGGAAAATATCAGTCCCACCAGCCTGGCTTGACTAATGGTTTCTGTCTGTAGTCTGTGAATGCCCCAAGTGCCCAGGCAGCAGGCATGGCCAGATGGAGCCAGTGCAATCTCACTCAGAGACAGTGTGGGTATGTGGGATCCTGGACTCAGGATAACCAAAGAGCCTAAGTGAGTTGTTCCACCCCTCCAGTTAAAGAAAAAGAGTAAAGACTTTGGAATCCATGCTCCCGATGTGCACACCGGAAGGGGACTGTGGAATATCTGGGCTGAAGAGTGCTAGCAGGTTTTCTTCTCCGCAGGGCCTTTTCTGTACCTTCAGCATGTTCTTCTAAGAGAGAAGCTAACCCAGTCAAAGAACCCTTTATCAGAGTGTGTAATTACACTGTGCTCATGGTGGAGCTTTTAGATGTGGGCAACCCTGTGGTTCTAGCAGTTCACTGTCCATCTCTGTGCACCTTCACAGGGGACAAACTTTCAGGATGTCAGATGCAATGAGAACCAGCACCCTGTGAAGAAACACTGTTTCCAAGACCTTCCTAGTTCTCATACACGAAAGCAGAAGAAAGTGGGTGTCTGTGTGCCCAGCCTTCCTCCAAGAAGCAAGTGAGGTCACACAAGCCCTCCCCACAGGGCTCCAAGGATAAATTAGCCAGCACCTGCCCATTTGGTTACACACAGTGGATGTTGAGTCAATGATTTGGTTCAGAGCAGGAGTTCTGTAGTTGCTCCACAGAAACCAAAGGAAGAGACAAAAGCCCAGAGGGGACCAGATGGGTCTCTGGGGAGAAGGGTACAGAAAATGCTCAAAAAAGCTGGTATAAGACACAATGCTGTTTATTGACAATAGAACAGATGGGTCGGGGACTGTGTATATAGATCCATCACTTCCACCAAGGAAGGAGAGACTTCAGGGAAGCAGAAGATGGCAGCTGAGGTCACACCAGAACAATTACAGGCACAGCATGGCACCGGGAGAAGGACTCTTGTAATCTTCATATGGAGCTCCACCAGGAATATGATGGAAGAGCCAAGGCTTCCAGCCTTCCAGCCCCAAGAAACTGTCCTCTTGGGAAAAGAGTGGGGTGACACTGATTTTGGGGGAGCAGATGAAGAAGAGAGGTGCTCTAAAGAAGAGAGGTGCTCTAAAGAAGAGAGGTGCTCTGGGGTGGCCGGGGTGCTGGCCAGCTCTTTATTTGGAGTCGTCTCTGGAAGACTGAAGGAGATTGACACTGCCACCTCCATTGCTGCCTGAGATGACACCTCCGCCACAGACTCCACGACTACCCCCGGAGCCACGGCCAAAGCTGCTTCCACCACTAAAACCACTGGCACCAAACCCACTGCCAAATCTGCTGCCATTGCTGCTTGCCAGGCGAACATCACTTCCTGTGCCACGTCCAACACCAAAACCACTTCTGTAACCATTTGACAAGGCCAAAGCACTACTGCTGGTTTTGTTGTTGACTACAGCTGTGGGGAAAACAAGACAGCAGTCAGTCAGCACCCTGGCATCCACTCCACTGAATTATAACTAGTGAGCCATGAGACCCAAGGAGATTGGCAGTGATCGGGATAGCTGTGCACTTGACATTAACTAGGAGACATTCTAGTGACATCAGGTATTAACTCCACACAGCAAGTCAGTTCAAATGACAAAATGGTTCCTTCTATATGCCATCAACACAACTGTTCATTTTTGAGACAGGATCTCACTATGCAGGCCTTGCTGAGCTTGAACTCAGAAAGGTCCACCTGTCTCTGCCTCCCAATTACTGGGCTTGAAGGTGTGCATTGACTCATCCTGCCATCAACTCTATTCTTCCTTTGTGCTGCTCGGTATCAAACCCAGGGCCTTGCCCATGCTAGGTAAGAATTCTACCACTGAGCCACAACCCCAGACCAATATAGTCAGTCCTTGAAGACAACTTGTGAAGGTTACCCAGTGTCTGAAATTTTCCCCACTGACCATTTGAAAGTGTCCTGAGGACTATAAGATAGTTCAGGAAGCTGGGCATTGGTGGTGCATGCCTTTAATCCCAGCACTCAGGAGGTGGAAGCTGATGGATCTCTGAGTTTGAGACCAGCCTGGTCTACAAAGAGAGTTCCAGGACAGGCTCCAAAGTAATACAGAGAAACCCTGTCTTGAAAAAAAAAAAAAAGATAGCTCAGGAAGAAAAATGCCTCCATATTATCAGGCTGAAGGCAAGACTGTAGGGCATGTTCTTACTTAGAGATTGATGGGGGAGGGCCCAGCCCATTGTGGGTGGGACCTTCCAGGCTGAGCAAGCCATAAGGAGCAAGCCAGTAAGCAGCACCCCTCCATAACCTCTCCATCAGCTCCTGCCTCCAGGTTCCTGCCCTACTTGAGTTCCTGTCCTGACTTCGTTCAGTGATGGTCTATGATGTGGGAGTGCAAGCCAAATAAACTCTCCCCTCCTCAACTGCTTTGGTCATGATGTTTCATCACAGCAATGATAACCCTAACAAAGACAGTAACTTTTCTAAATTAGGTGCTACTTGGTGTATTAGTACAGATATTTGAGAACCAGCCTTCATCGTGATGACTTGGGCTACTTACAGATACTGACAGCACTCTGGTACCCTCCAGACATCCTGTTTTTGAGAAAGCAAAAAAGAGATGGCTCCGTCACAAAGTAGTCTGCAACAAGGCCATGGGTCAAGGTGATAACTACTTGCTATAACTGAACTCAATAGCCCGGAAGGCTTCATCCACATGGCTGTGTACCATATCGAAAAAGCTGTACACACTGGCTGCATATCCCGTTCAGCTACAATGGAGGGAGTAGACTGGCGAAGACGTAAGCCTAGAGAAGACATCTTGGTGGCCGGCCTCTATTGTCGCTTACTTGGTTACTTGTGTGGCCCTCAGACTGTGACATAGAACAGGAAGATGAGACGAAGCTCACCTGTACTCAGCACCCTCCAGCAACTGGCGGTAGGCAGTGATCTCTGTATCCAAGGTCATTGTGGTTTCTAACAGTTGCTGGTAGTCTCTCAGCAGACCATCCAGGTCATCTTTGTCCTTCTTCAGGGCAGCCTGTGAGTCTTGAAGTTTGATATTGGCATACCTGATGACTGTCTCACCATTTTGCTCAGTTTCCACCACGACGCTGTTCAGCTTTTCGTTCTGGGTTTAATGGGGAGTGGATGGAATGAGCCCAGTAGCATGGCCCCAGGCTCTCTGCCACTTAGAATGGACTATCCCATCTTAAAGTCAAGGAAGGACACCCTTCCCCAAGTTATCTTTCTCTTTTTTATCCATGGGGACATTTTCTCACAGTTAGCCAGCCTTCTAGTTGGACTTACTCTTTGAGCTTCCCAGAGGGCCATGTGCCTTCAAAAGTCCCTTCTTTGTTATGAGTCCCGGGGTGCCCCGCCCCCAGCAACAGTGAGCCCAGGCAATAGCATCCAAGTCATCCTACCCGCCTCTTGGCGTTCTCCACCTCTGCCTCCAACCTCTGGATAATCCTGTTGATCTCTGTTATCTGGTCTTTGATGTTCCTCAAGTCATCTTCATGCCTGCCAGCCATGGTCTTGAGCTCCCCCAACTAGACAACAGGAAGGAAAACTGAATGCTAAATACAACTATGACTATACCCATGCCACCCACCAAACTGTGAGATACCAGTAAGCATTTATTCAATATCATTTTTTTTTTTGGTTTTTCGAGACAGGGTTTCTCTGTGTAGCTTTGGAGCCTATCCTGGCCCTCGCTCTGGAGACCTGTCTGGCCTAAAACTGACAGAGATCTGCCTGCCTCTGCCTCCCAAGTGCTGGGATTAAAGGCATGTGCCACCAACGCCCGGCCCCAATATCATTTTAATGAACCAAACAGAGTCATCTCCAAGGAAGCACGGAAGAAGAAATCTGAGCTATTGGACTAGAAGGTTCTTCCACCTTGTAGTCCCTGAGCTGGAAGTGGTCCCATAGAGCCTGGGAGGAGACAGTATAAAACTTCATACAACAAATGACCACCAGTTGGATAACTCCAGAAAACAGACAAATACAGGTTCATCCAGGGACTCCCTCCATAGCTGTCTCACAAGATATAGCTTCCTTGACTCCTAGTGAAGGCCAGAGGAGGTACCTGATACCTACCTTGGTCTGGTACAGCAACTCAGCCTCCACCTTGTTCCTCTGGGCAATATCTTCAAACTGGGTACGGGTCCCAGAAATGATGCTATGCAAGTCCAGGCTGCGGTTTTTGCCCATGGGGAAGGCCACAGATGTGTCATTGACATGGTTCTGCAGCTGGGACATTTCCTGCCAACACGGAAGGGACTTGCTCACTTTCAGGGCCATTAAAACAATGCCTCCTAAACAACAATTCTACTCACTGACCCTTAGCTCAGGATATGCATGTGGCCCAGCCTGTCCCAGATGATCAGAGAGCCCCCTGTCTACAGGCCACTCTGCTGCTACAAGGGAATATATCTCTAGGCTCATCAAGACAGTCTCCCAGGACCCAGGTACCAAATGTACCAGGCTCACATCTGAAAGCATCACCCCCCTCCTGCATTCTCACCTCTAAGAGGTCCCTCCGAAAGTTGATTTCTTTTATCAGGCTATCCATATTGGCCTGAAGCTTCATCTTGGCCAGGTGGGCAGAGTCCACATTCTGAGAAACAGGAACATAAAGGCCTTATTACCCCCAAGGAGCAAAAGGCAAACTGTAATTGCAACAATTCGGCTTGGAGAGGGTGGGGAGACCCGCCTATGCCAGTGCAGACGGTTCTGATTCAAATGCGGACTCTACATGCACTGGTTCATAAAAGCCTTCAAAAGAATCTCCTGGCTGCTTCTGTCTACTCCAGTGCTTTGAGCCTGACAGTAAAGCAAGCCGATTCTGCCTTCCAGCTAGGACCCTGTGTGACATGCCCCAGGAAGTTCTCAGTAGACTACTACCTTCTTCAGCATCACAGAGTCATTTTCGGCAGTTATTTGTTTGTTGATTTCATCTTCATATCTGTGAACATAAAAGTGAACTTGCTAGATCTGTTTTGTTTGGGGTGGCTTTGCTTTGTTGTGTGTGGGGGCCGGTACTGTGTGGGGGAAAAGCATGCATATGCCACACATGTGGAGGTCAGAAGACAATCTTGACCCATCTTTGCTTTATACCTTGAATGACACAGGGTCTCTCTTTGTTTGTAGCTGTGTATACCAGGTAAGCTGACCCAGGAGTTTCCAGGGATTCACCTGTCTCCACCTCCCATGTCACCTTAAGATCACTGGTGATATAGACACATGTCACTGGCTTTATGTGGCTTCTGGGGAATCCAAGTCCTCGTGTTTGCATGGCAAGTGCTTTACTGGCTGAGCCATCATCCCTGGGCTTAACTTTGAGGTAGTCATAAACTCTACTGCCCTCTATCCCGACCCAGTCTGACCTTTCCAGTGAGGCCTCCGCTTTACAGCTTCTGTGTTAGTGAGGGGACCCAGTCACACCGGTCTGCCCAGAAAAACTGTCCTGGTTTTTAGCACTGAAAGTTCTGCATTCCAGAAACCCCACCCCCCCAGTCCAGGGCAAACCTCCAGATCTACAAGTTACCACCCTAAGAACTGCCTCAGAATCTTTCACATCCTAGAACCAAGGTCTTCCTCAACCTGGCTCATTAGGAAGTGCTTCATCTCTAATAAACTCATCTCTCTTGCAACAAGCTCTGTCTAGACTATATCTATGCTTGGAGAAGGTAGCGGGCAGGGGACCTAATGAACCCGTGAAAGTAAGAGAAGGGAAACAGGCTAGGTAACACCATTACACAGTAGTCAGAAAGAACTAAGGCAGTACCAAGACTCTGGGAGGGGAGGCCTATGACAACTTACTCCCACTTGTCACTTACTTCTTTGTGTAGTCTGCCACTGTGTCCTGCACGTTCCTCAGCTCTGAATCCAGGTGGCCTCTCTCCAAAGTGATGTCATCCAACTCAACTTGCAGAGAGCTGATGAAGCTTTCAAAGTGAGTGTCAAGGCTGTTGGTGCTGGTGATGGAACTGGGGTCCTGCTGCTGGAGAAGCCCCCATATGGTCTCCAGGGTCTTGTTCTGTTGTTCCACAAAACATGCCTACAGGGCAATGGGGCAGCAACGTTAGGCAGCATTGCAGAACCATGGAGGGCCTTCATTAGTTAGTGGGGGTAGGTCCGGGCATCTAGCTCGTGATCCACCTGCTCAAAGGCAGATGTAAAGTTGGGCTCTTCCTGTAGCTGCACAAACTATAGTCAGGCAGTTCATCAACCAGGGCACTGAAGGTAAAACACAGTTTGAAAAATCACAGAGGAAGCATCTCTACACACAAGCTATAGGCTTGTAAAGGGAACTCCTTGAGGTTCTGGGAACTTTAGTGTGACCCTGACTCCCCAAAATACAAAGCACTCTGCAAAATCCCTCTGCAGCAGTGTTTTTTCACAGAAATCACAGAATCCATGGTCACTGCAGCTCCCCAGGCCACCGGCCATTGAGAACTGCCCCTAGATGATATGCCCAGTGGCACAATGTCACTTCTCTTCAGTTTAGAGGTGAAACAGCCCCAAGTAAGCCCCAGGATAGAGTGAACCACAAAGTGGAACACAACCTTCTATACAAAGTTGAGTAGAGATGCAAAGGGCACCAACTTCCCACAACTCCCTGAGACTAGGGGTCAACTTAGAACTCTCTAAATCCCAGTTTGCTGGCACAGCAGTACAGCAGGAAAGGACTCATGAAAAGCCCCAAAGGGTAGCTTACATCCCCAGTGCCTGATTCTAGGTCAGACCTTCTTGACCAGTGATGCCCTGGACTCCAGCTCTGCAGGTCCAGACATATATAAGGCTGCAGGTGGGAGACTTGAGCAGAGGTTCAGACAAGCAGCACAGGGTGAGGTTTGGATCTTCCCAAACCCTACAGCTCTGCCTAGGCCCTCACCCTCTAGCCTGGCCCATGTAGACACATTTAAACAGTGTCTAAACGTCAAACTCAAAGTCTCTTGTGTAAGGATGGGAGTCAGAGTTTCATTACCTTGTCAAAGAAGGAGGCGAGCTTGTCATTGAGAGTCTTGATCAGTTCAGACCCTTTGACCTTCATTTCCACAGTCTGGGGGTCAGTCTTCTCATTGAGGGGCTGCAGAAGGCTCTTGCTAGTGGTCACTTCCTGGATTGCCCCAGAGCCAAAGATTATAGGCCTATTGAAGACACCAGCCAATCCAAAGCCACCAGTTCTCCCAATGCCACCTCCAGTTCCTCTGCTACCACCAAAGCCATTCCCAGAGCCAGTGTTGTAGTTTCCCAGAAGTCCACCAAATCTACCAATCTTGGAGCCACCAGCTGCCACACTGATGGAGATGGGCCTACTGCTGCCCAGGCTGTAGAAGATTCTACTGCCAAAGACAGGTACTCCACTCTGAATCCCATAAGCCCTTACACTGGCTGCCCCAGAGCGAGCCATATAGTTCTTTACGGTGCTGCCGAATTCCACAGCTGACCAGCTAGAAAAGCCCTGTCTCCTACTACCAGGTGTCTTACAGACTTGTCTGCTCATGGTGAGGAGCCTGGTGGCAAAAAAATGAGCAAAGCAAGCAGGGACACTAAGAGTCAGCAGAAGAGCGCGGAGGAATAATGGTCTGGGTAGAATGAATCCTTTTATATGCATTTGACCGAGCTTCGGGGCTCAAGGGAAGGACAGACAATTAATCCCAAAAGCTTGTGAGCTGGGCTTTACCAAAAGGCAGTAAATTTGTCCCGAGCCACAAAGCACACCTTGAAGATAAGCTGAATGTTCAAGTGGCAGGCTTGCCTGGCAGCGCTCCACCCCCATGCACAATACTTCTCAGTTTAATGATCTAAGAGGCACTTGACATGTAACCAGGGAATCAGCTTTAGTCTGTCTACCCACCAGAGCAGAGCTCAGTTCTGGGAAAGTGACATGAAAGAGTAGTGAATGCTCTGGCTTCCTGGGTAAGGGAGATGGTAGAGCCCACTCACAACCCTGAAAGGTTCAGGCATTATGCTGGCCTGCCCCTGTTACCTGGTGGAACAGGCAGTACCCTGGTCAGCCCAAGGTTCCATGGGAACTAAGTCTGCATGCAGATACAGAGGACCCCTTTAAAAGATAGGCCCCTGCCCATTTACACACTCTGTTCCCTCTCTCTGTTCTCCTCTCTCAGTTCCCCTCTCTCTGTTTCCCCGCTCTGTTTCCTCTCAGCTTCCTTTCTACTCTCTCTCACCTATGTGCTCTATGGCGACCAACCATGGCGGTTCCTCTTCTTAGTCTCCCCATTCTTCCGGGCCTTATAATAAACTTATAGTCTTATGTCTCATGTCTCAGCATTTCTCTTTTCTTCTTTTTAAACAAAAGAATAACAGGTATCCACAAAGAGTGACAGGGTTTACTCCAGTCAGAACATGATTATTACATATGCACAGTGTGCCTGGCTTTGTGCTGAAGTTGGAGGCAAAATACTGGCCCTGTCACTTCCCTTTCCTAAAGTCAAAGCCAGGAACCAGCATCATCTGCTCCCTGGGCTCTTCCTCCCTCCCAGCCTTAGTGCAGGAGCCCTTAGCTGTGTAGCTTGTAACCATCCTATAAGGAAAAAAAAATCAGAGTTGACAGATCTCTACATTGATTAGACCTTGGCAAAACCCAACACTCCAAATATTCATTTGTTTTACATACTTCTCAAAGAAACCATATGTACTACAGACATCATCTCAGGGTTTCTCTAGGGTTTCCTATCCTGTTCCCTGAGTTGTGTCATTGCCCCAGTGTCAACCCAAGCCCCAGAAATAGGAAACATCAATTCAACAACAACAAAAAAATAACAATTCAGGGCCCAAACATAGGAAAAGCCTGCCAATGTAAGTTTATGCACCAGTAGGGTACAGATAGCAGACAAATACATGTGATACATCCACCAGGAAGTAGACATGTTATGGAAGAGCAAAGCATGGAAGCACCCTTAAGAGGCTGAAACAGAAGAGTCATGAGTTCTAGGTCAGGATGGACTATATAGCAAAACCTTGTCTAAAAAGGAAGGTGGAAGAGGAAGACTAGGAGAAGGAAGATCAGAGAAAGGAAGGGGAGGAAGATGAAGAAGAAGAAGCAGCAGCTATGAAAGAGGTGTAGCAATAAAATGTTGGGGTGGAGAAATAGCTCCATGGTAAAGAGACCCTACTTGCTGCCCTTGCAGAGGACCCGGGTTCAGTTTCCAGCACCACCTGGTGGCTGATAGCCATCCATAACTCCATTCAAAGGATCCTTCCCCCATCATCTGATCTACATGAGCGCCAGGCATGTGCATGGTACCCACACATACACGTAGGCAAAATACTCATACACATAAATAAATCTACAAATATAAAAAGAAGTATGGTAAGGGAACCATTTCATGGAGTCATCTTGTGGACCTATCCAGTAAATGCAATGATGAGCAAGCATGCAGGCATCTGGAAGAAAGGAGCCCCAAAACAGAAATCCATGAGTGCCCTGAGGTGGGACTTGTCTGAAGGGTCAATGGTTGAAGCAATGAGAGTGGGAGGCAGGCCTCTAAAATGAGATCTGAGTAGCTGGGAGGCAGGTCGCACAGGGCCACATGAAGCTGGCTCTTTCACTGAGAGGAGGGCCACTGAGGTTAAACCAAAGACACATGAGTAAGACGTGAGCTGGCACTGAAAGATTCACTCTGGCTGCTGTGTAGGAGACAGACTGCAGGGATCAAGGGGGAGCAGGTGAGAGCCACTCCTCCCTTTCCTTCCTTTTGTCTTATCTTTGCAAAACTGGCTTCCACCGCCTCCTGCAGGGATGAGCTGAGAGAGCTACACAAGCGTTAAAAGTTTCCCTGTGTTAATGCCACTGCAGTGAGCTGGAGATTGCCCTGCTGAGACTCCTGTAATTCAACGTGTGCTGAGCCTGGTCCCCACCAGACCTTGCCCCTGAGGAGTTCCTCAACAACAGTTGCCCTCTCAGGAAGCTCTGGAAAGACCTTAGGAACTTAGTAGCTACAAAAAAGGAAGGAGGAGGTAGAAAAGTCTTGACACAATCATTTAACCTGGAGAAGGGGGAGTTAAGAGAAAAATCTACAATTATTTTTCCATTAATTATTTGTAAGGTTCTCTCTCTACTAAAGAACTGGGGCAGGGAGGGTCAATTGGACCTAACATGGGGGATGTGAGTGTGGTAGGAAGGACTCTGGTGGCCATGGTCACTGGAAGTAGTCTAAAGAGATTAGAAACAGTCACCCAAGGCCCCTAGCATATAGATGGTATTGAGAATATTGAAGAAATATTGTGAAGAACAAGGAACACTTATGTCAGGAGACAAGGGGGTAATAAGGGTGAACAAGAGTGGAAAAGAGACAAAGCAGTCACAAGGCTCCAGGTGACAGTTGCAGAGAAGGGCAGAGGGTACTCATGCCCAAAGCAGTACCTGGGTCTCCAGGCCAGCCGTGGAGCCCTTTCCCTCCTCTTTCTGAGCCTGCTTACCCAGACACGTTGGTCTGGGCTTACTTTTAGTCTTAGACACAAGCCCAAGCCCCAAACACATTGGGCAACCAGCCAAATTAGAGTCCTCCACAATCTGGCTCCTACTCCTTGCCCTTCATCTCCAGAAGCACCAAGCTGGTTTGGGCTTAGTCATAGTCTACCCTGAGCCACATCTGGAAGCCTCCACTCTGGTGTTCTTACTGCTGGGAAGCCCCTTGGGCCCTTCCACAGCTCCAGGTCCACACTCGTTTTTATCTGGCCGCTTCCTTGGCTCATATATATAGACAAGAGTCACTTCCTCCCAGTCTTCCTTGAATCCCTTCTCCATGGTGCTTCCAGATTTTTGGTGGTATCTACCATACCACCAAATCACTTCCTCCCAGTCTTCCTTGAATCCCTTCTCCATGGTGCTTCCAGATCCTTGGTGGTATCTACCATGGCTCTCAACACTCTTTTAAAGTCTGGAATCCCTGTGGGTAATACATCTGTCCCCAGGACTCCCCAAATTATACTCCATACTCAGGCTACACCCTCTTCTGCATCAGCCTCATCTGTCTTGAGCTGTCTGTCCCTGTGGCCTCCCACAAGCCAACCCAGAAAGGGTATTCACAGACTCCATTGCCAAGGGAAGCCCTGTTCCCCCAAGCCCATAGGTGCTGCATCAAACAAAGAGGAAGAGCTCCAGGAGATGGGAGAGACACTGTCACCTATCAGGGCACTGCTTGGAGAAAGGGGTGTACTCAAAAACTACCCAAAGAAGCCTAAGGAAGAACCAGCACTGGTGTTCAGCACAGTGCAGCCATCTACAGACTTTTTGAACAAGAGGCTTCCCTGGGAGTTCTGAGAGTCCTGCTTAGAGAGCACTTATTGCCAGTATTCAGGCATCTGTACTGCCCTGCCCTTGGGGTCCTGACAGGATATGTCCCCCAGCTGCAGTCACTAAGAGCATCATCTGTGTATATTCACTATGTTTCCTTTTTAAGTGCCTGCCCACCCACCCACCACCCCCTCTCTCTCTGCTTCTCTGCCTCTCTGTCTCCCCCCTCTTTTCTCATCTGCTGCTCCTGTCCCCAGAAGCCAGTCTCCCCTCTTTCCCTCCCTCCTTTTCTTATTCCCTTACCCCTAATTTAAAAAAAAAAAAAAAGCCTCCCTGTGAGCTCTGTTGCACAGTATCTTCCTTTCTCGTGGCGCTATGTAAATTACACCACTTACCCCTCTCTGGCACTCTGGCCCTTAAATGCCATCTCCTGTGTGATACTTTCTGGTGTTTTCAAGCCTTCTCCCAAGACTGGAAGTCATCTCACTTTCCCCTGGACAGTCATTGCGTTGGTTTGTAGCTCCCAATGACATTCATCTATTTGGCCACCAAGTCACTGAGATATAGATATAAACATCTATACCAAAATCTTCCCAAAGACTCAACTAACTCCTTTTGTATTGGGGTCCCCACTGCCTAGCACAGGCTAGGCAATCAGACAACAGCAGTTTTTTTGGTTCATCCCATCACCCTTTATTCAATAGTCACTAAAAGGCAAACATGCAGAAATGGACATCATGATGAATCCAGCCAGGGCTTCTGTGCTGTTTGTTGAAATAATGAACAGATGGGGGTGTGGATGGGTGGATAGATGAGTGGTTGGCAGGTAACAGTTAAAAACATTTCTTGGAATCCCAGTGTGGTGGCGCATGCCTTTAATCCCAACACTCAGAAGGCAGAGGCAGGCAGATCTCTTTGAGGCCAGCCTGAGTTGCAGGAAGAGTACCAGGATAGCCAGGGCTACACAGAGAAACCCTGTCTTAATAATAATAATAATAATAGTAATAATAATAATAATAATAATAATAACTTTTTGGAGAGCTTCTGCCTATCTTTATCTGAGTTCTCCCTTGAATCATTAAGTTTCAAATCCAAGACTCTGGAAGCAATGCAGCTGTAGGTGCAGTCTTAACTGACAGGAGGTCAGGCAGCAGTGAGCCTGGATCATGGGCATCCTGGCCACACTCCTGTCCTCACACGCCTCTCTTCGTGCATAGGGTTCACTCCCAACCTTAACATGCCAAAGGCTCTGAGTAGATGTCCGTGGTTGTTCTTCTCCTTGGCCTCACCTTTCCCTGGCTAGATTGCCAACTGCTCAGAACAGACCACATTAACATTTCCTCTCCTTCTTTCCTTTTTTTTTTTTTTCTTTCTTTGATTTTGTTGTTGTTGCTTGTTTGCTGTGTGCTGGATTTGTTGGTTAGTTGGTTTTTGAAACAGGTCTTTCCATGTAACCCGAATGGGCCTGCAACCTTCAGTGCTGTCTCTGTCTCAGCTTCCTCAGCACAGATATTACAGTATGAACCACATCTCCAGCTTGTTTTTCCTCTTTATGAAAGACAGGAGTCTTATATCAACAAAACACAAAGACTCTCACAGCCAGTTGCCTCTTTACATAGCCACATTGGCTCTAAGATACACTTGCGTGCCTCTCATCTGTAGCTGCCTCAATGGACTAGATCATTAACTGCCCCTGCAGAGGCCAGACAGACCCCAGAGCCCTCAGGACTGGCTACTCCCACACTCCTAAGCTGAAACATGAGAAGGGGGTAGGGCAGCCTGTAGTCTTCTGGTAGCAGAGTCAGGAGCTTTGCCCTCACTCTCAACCCTTAACTCCTCTTCCCCACCCCAGAACTCAAAAAAGAGCTGAGTGGGCATTTTCCCAGGGGCAGGGTACAATGCGGAAAGAAATAGAAGCCACTTAACAGGCTCACAGTCTGCAAATGCTTCCTGCTCTGACACACATGACACACAGGGTGGCAAGCCCAGGACAGACAATGGAGAGATCAGGGCTGGGCCCCAGAAAGATAGATCTCTCTGGGCCAGGAACCTCTCCCAAGAACACAGCCCCAGATTAATGTTCTCTGTTCTATCCCAGGGGGAAAGAAACCTCATATGCCTAGCCTCAGGGTTTGCTTGAGGGCCCCACGGGTAATCCAGGCATAGGCAAAACCTTTCCACATCCTCCACTGCACCATCAGGACAGAGTTCAGGGGGATAAGTGGCACTTGCCGTGGGAAGGATTGGTTCAGGCTGCAAATGGGAGCTGTGTAGTCTGTTTTTAGGAAGAGGGAGGTAGCGGTATTCCAAGCACAGAACTGAAACCCGTTGTTCTCAAAGGCCGCACCAAGCCCTCTCCTCAAACTGCCCTCTCCCCCTGCAGCACTGCACCAAACAGAATCTCCAGGGACACCCTGATCAAGAAGTGTCCCCTTCCTTACTCCAGAAGGCCTGCCTGTCTTCCACCACCCTCCCCTTCTCTCAGGGACAGCAGCCCAGACTGAAGCCCAGTAAGCCCAAGAAGGTGCAGAAGTCAGCAAAGCCTTCCAACTCTGAAAGGGGAGCACCTGGTCCCCTCCATCAAACACTCATGACCTTGTTGGTTCTCGAGACAAGTTCCTGAAAGCCTCTCAGGTCCATTGAGATCTCAATCATGGAACTACATAACACAGGAAGGCCTCTGCCTAGGGTATAGCTCAGCGACCACACAAGGCATGTGCAGGGCCTGGGGTTGGATCCCAGACACCAGAAAATAAGAACTAAAGAGTTCTTGCTAGACACTGAATCCATGTTATTCCCTAAGTTTCATCTTCTGTATACAATAAAGGCACTGGTCTATCAGATGCCCTGTACAATTCCAGACTCAGGCTCTTCCTCCAGGTTGATCCCAGGTTCCACACTGAGTCATCCTGTCCCAGGTCATCCTATAACGAGCATCTTTCATAAAGTTGGGGGGTTTGTGAACATGTTCCCCTGCCCTCTGGGCAGCCTTTGGGTCATTATCCTGCATCTCTGCCAGCAGTACTTTCTGAACCTTGGAAACGGGAACCTGAGATAGTGACCTTGATCTAGACAGAAAGATCTTCGGACGTTTACCTAAATTATCTGAGTAAATGAGCTTCTGGAGACTTCTCCATAGTATGCAACACCAAATACTCAGAATGAATGACAAAAAGCATTTTATTGGGGATGAATAGAGAGATGAGCAGGGTTGAACGGGATACCGAGCAGTCTCTGTTTGAGCCTTGCAGAACCCATTGCTGCCAGGTGGTAGAGAATGAGCATAATTGTAGCAGATGGATGTCCAGGATCTGATAGAGGGTGGTGTGGCTGGAAGGGCGGCATGTGACTCTGATAGTTTTGAAGAAGGAGCTTGTAGTCTTCATCCCCTCTGTCCATTGGGGTGAAATCAGACAGCCCTCCCGTTGCAGGGGGGTCACCAGACCCAAATTGAAAAGAAGCTAACAAGCTCCAAAAGAGCAGAGGCCACACCACAGCCAAGAAGATCATCCTGTAACCGAGAGACCAGGGCAGAGGGGAGGAGACTCTGACAAGATGAACCGGGAAGGTGTGAAGAAAGCATGGAGACACCAGCAATGGCTGACCCTGCTGGCTCAGGGCCATCAGGACCCCGTCTCTTCTATCGCTGGGACCTCTTGGTCACAGTGGTGGTAGAGGTGATCTTGGTACCGGAACTGCCATAGACACCACCACCAAACCCAAAGCCACTTCCAGAACCGGAACCAGAGCCAAAACCACCACCCAGGCCAAGGCCGATGCCAGCACTGCCGCCGATGCCAGCACTACCGCCAATACTGGCACTGCCACCAACTACCGCTGGAGGGAGAGACAAAGTACACAGTTATTCTCAATTCTAGTAGTCCCCAACTCAGACCCAGAGGACTAGATGACATGGTACAGAAGGTACTTACAGATGCTCACAGCACTCTGGCATTCTCCAGACATCCTGTTAGGGAGAGAGAGATGTGAGCCATGCAGAACAGAACCCCACCTCCTTCAGCATAAAGATATCATGTGCTTATCTCAGCCTTGAGCAGCCACAATGTAACAGCAGAGTGTCAATCCGTGCTCTAATGGTCCTGGTCAGAAAGTACCAGCACAGCACCGAGGCAAGAAGTCCTGACCCCAAACCCAAACCTCCCTCACCTGCACTCCTCGCCCTCCAGCAGCTTGCGGTAGGTGGCAATCTCCACATCCAGGGCCAGCTTAACATTCATGAGAGCTTGGTAGTCACGCAGCAGCCGGGCCAGGTCCTCCTTGGCCTTGCTCAGGGCGTTCTCCAGCTCTGCACGTTTGCTGTAAGCATCTTGGAGAGCTGTCTGCCCACGCTGCTCTGCATCAGCCACAGATGTCTGCAGATTCTGGCACTGTGGACAGGGACATTGATGGACAACATCAGTGCCCTATTTTAGAGAACTTCATACCTGTTTCTCCTCCTGAGCCAGCTTCCCTTGGTTAAGATTCTGGTCATTCTTCTTTCCTGACTCAAGAGTCCCATTCCTAACTGGGTGGTGGTGGTGCACGCCTTTAATCCCAGCACTTGGGAGGCAGAGGCAGGTGGATCTCTGAGTTAGAGGCCAGCCTAGTCTACAGAGAAAGTTCCAGGACAGCCAGGGTTACATAGAGAAACCCTGTCTCAGAAAAAAAAAAAGAGTCCCATTCCTTCCAAACAGAATACATCCATGTAGGTATATAGCAAGACCACTGAGCTCACCTATAACCTCACCAGAAAACAAGATAAAAATATACAAAAGCCAGGGAAGACTAGCCAGGAGCCCTGTGTTTGGGATGTTGCATCACATTAAACAAGACATGATGAGATCTGTGTGGTTGGTATCATGAGGTATAAAGGCCTTATAGACTAGCCTGGAGTCTCCAAGCCTAGTGCTTTATCTGTTTGTCCCCCATAAAGGCACCCACACCCACCTGCTTCTTGATGTTCTCAATCTCTGCCCGCAGCCTCTGGATCATCCTATTGAGTTCTGAGATCTCATTCTTGGTGCTCTTCAGGTTATCTCCATGTTGGTCAGCTGAGATCTGGAGCTGCTGGACCTGATACCCAAGGGAACAGGGTTGTAAGTTTGTACAGCAGACCCAGTGAGGGTAACTGCAGATGGAGGGTAATATCACATACATGAGATCCCAGGTCAAACAAGAATCAATGGTACCTAAAGGAGCCACTCATCTCACACACCTACCTTGGTCTGGTACCATGACTCAACCTCAGCCTTACTCCTCTGGGCAATCTCCTCATACTGAGCTCGGACCTCAGCGATGATGCTGTCCAGGTCCAGGTTCCGGTTGTTATCCATGGAAAGCACCACAGATGTGTCTGAGACGTGTGTCTGCATCTGGGACAGCTCCTACAAGGACCATGTCTCACATCAGACCCCAATAGAGTTAGTCTTCCCTGACCTCTGACACCATCCTCCCATTTCCATGGAAATGACTGTGAAATAGGTCTAAAGGAAGCAGATTTAATAGTCCCCATGTGTAGGGAGAGGGGCAAGAGAAAAATGAAGTTGGTGACATCTCTGAACAGAAAAGCAATAGTTCTAGTCTCTACTGATCCCCAAGAACATAATGCTCTGTGGATAATGAGGCAGGAGTTCTATGTGTTAGGTGAAGGCAATCTAATGGAAACATGATGGGTAGCAATGACTTTTCCCCATGCAACCTCCAGCTCTAAGTCCTCTTCTAAGGCATCTGGTCCTGAGAAACTCTCCAATCAGTCTCTCACTTCACTCTAGTCTTTTCTCTCCATGATCTTGCCAAGAACCCATTGCCTTGACATAAATCATTGGAATTTATTAAGAACCATGACTTCCAACCCATAGCCTCATAGATAGGGGTTGCCCTCCTCTAAATGGAGGATGGAGGCCTCACCGCTTCATAGAGGACCCTCAAGAAGTTGATCTCATCCTTAAGGCTGTCCATCTTGGCCTCCAAATCCACCTTGATCATGTAGGCAGCATCCACGTCCTACAGAGGTAGAAGAGGAGAAAAAGGAGGAGGATGAAGGGGGGGAAAGAGATAAGGGCACCAAAAGCCATCAGAATATGTAAAGTTCACTGTCTAGATAGGTTTTCCTCACACACTTACTTCCTTTTAGATCTCAACCCATTACCCACTCCCTTTGATACCATAATCCCAGATAGTGCCAAGGAAGACACAGACAGGCAGCGATGGGCTAAACACATGGCTTAAGCCAAGGGCCACTCCTAACAAGGGGGGATGCTAGAAGCTCTTCCTGCATCCTTCCTGGCTTACTTTCTTGAGGACCACAAAGTCGTTCTCTGCAGCTGTGCGCTTGTTGATCTCATCTTCATACCTGGGGGTAGGGACAGGAAGACAGAGGGCCACCATGAGCTATTTTTCCAAGGTCCACTGCTTGCTCCCAAACATATAAGAGTTGGAAAACATCCATATCATGAGCAGCACTCAAGTGAGGTCATTCTTCTACCCATGAGGCTAACACCTTGGCCCTGGTTTATTCAGGGACATAAAGACAAGCATAAAAAGAGTATTCAGGGGACAAGATGTGAGAGAAACCACAGCTCAGTGATCAAATTAGATCATTGGAAAGATTATCCTGATTCTAAATTCTAGGCAGACATTCCAGTTCCCTTTTCTCGATGTGTTCATTTTCTTAGCCCCATCCTACAGAGAGCAAAAGTAAACCTACTGTGTATTGCTTGTCCACTATATGTTCTATCTGCTCTGTCCCTACTCCCTATTCTATCCAATTGTCAGAAGCCATAAGGTAAGAATACTACCCCTATTAAATACTAAAAAAGCAAAAGCTCAGAGATTTTAAGAAACATCTAAGGTCACACACAAGCACACAACTACACACACACACACACACACACACACACACACACACACACACAAATCAGTATTGAGTTTGCTCCATCTCTTCCCAATCTACATACCAATCTGTATTCCAGTCTATGACCAGGCTAATACTGCTATTAAATGCTATTAAAATGGCTATTGAGCCATTTTATTTCTGAACCTCTTTGTACCAAATGCTATTAAAATGGCTATTGAGCCATTTTATTTCTGAACCTCTTTGTGGGTACACACAAAACCCAGAAACCTAAATTGATCACTGATTAAGGCAACTAGTGGTTACTTGGCCTCTGCCTGTGAAAATGTCACCATTTGAAAATGAAAATTGGCTTAGAAGAGCTTTTCGCCCGGCTTTGGATTCCACAAGCCTGAGGTCCCAAGCCACTGGAGAGAAGCCTGAATGTGGGCCAGCCCTCCCTCTCTCCATGTACTTGGTCTTGAAGTCCTCCACACTGTCCTGCATGAGCTTCAGCTCTGACTGTAGGCGTCCTTTGTCATTGATCAAAGAGTCCAGATGCTTCCTCAGGGCATTGATGTAAGTCTCAAAGAAAGGATCCAGGCTTCTGGGGGATGTGGTGGTGGTCTGCTGCTGGAGCAGGTTCCATTTGGTCTCCAGGACCTTGTTCTGTTGCTCTAAAAATCGCACCTGTGTGGGAAAAAAAAAGACACAGGCCACTAGTAAAAGCCAGAAGCTTCAGCAGGAGGGTGTCTTTGGCCTGCACCAGTCTAGATAGTCCAGACCACCTAAGAGTCACCCAGCTTGGGCCACCTCATAGCAAGCCCAGGACACCATCATGACAAGCATGCTACTGGTCCCATCATTGCTGAGGGACATGTAGCCTGGAGAACAGAGTGTAGGGTTGATGGTATACAACTGCACAGGTGGCAGTTGCTGACATTCAAGGGACCCCAACCCACGGTGAAGAACGGCCACATTTACTGAAGAGTTTGAAAATAAGCTAAGTGTGGCGGTGTGCCTGTGTGGCCCAGCACTAAGGAGGCTGCAGCAGGACAATGAGTTTGAAACCATGATCTACACAGGAAACCCTTGTCTTCTCAATCTGTACCAACTAAGTCCTCACATGTTCTGAGACTCAGCTAGAATCCACCCTGGCGAGGACTTCCTAGGGCCTTCCCTCTCTAGAGCACCTACCCAGGCCAACCAGAGGAGTGGCCCATGTTACACACCATAAACATGAGTCCCACCTTCTAAATCCAAAGAGTGAGATAAAAGGAGATGGTGGCAAGCAGGCACCAAGAGCTCTCCATCTGTCACTTGAGTCTGTATTCCTGGGGTCACAGTAAAACCTCTACCAGCTACTATAGGCTTATTCAAGCCAGTGGGAAGAGCAAGTGTACCCCCTCATTTGCTTCAAGGTGATTTACTCTTGCCTTAAGCACTTAAAGGAACCAAAACCTTGACGCACAGCCACCTTGAACAGCATGGTCAGGAGCACCACACTGGTCCTTAGCTGTAGATCTTTGAGTAACTAGACTCCATGATGCATGGCCACAATTGAACCTACACAATGCGATCTCCAGATCTTTCATGAAACCAGAAGCTGGGTTAGAAAAAGCAAAGAGCATCCCCCCAGCACTTCAAGCAGCCTCAGAAATGAGAGGTTTCATCCGGAGACAGAATTGGGTATGAGATGACCTCCTGGCTAAGACCCAGGGCCTGGGCCTCACTCCCACCACCCTCTGCACATGTCAGGCTCGCTTGCCTTGTCAATGAAGGAAGCAAATTTGTTGTTGAGGGTCTTGATCTGCTCACGCTCTTCCGTGCGGACTCTCTGGATCTCTGGGTCAATCTCCACCTGAAGAGGCGTCAGCAGGCTCTGGTTGATGGTAACTTCCTGAATACCTCCAGCAGGACAGACGGGGAAGCCTGGACCACCTCGACCATTGAAGGAACCTCCGAAACCACCTCCAAAGCTGCCTCCAAAGCCACCAGCACCAAACCCGGCACCGAAGCCTCCGATACCGAAACCTCCAGCACCACCATAACCACCGCCTTGGCAGGACCCAGCCACACTCATGGAGATACTCTTGTGACCCCCGAGGTTGTAGAGACTCCTGCTGCCGAAGCCCCCAGAGGAGCATCGGCCTGCACCCCCAGACATGGAGGCTGAGCTGAAAGCCACCCGCTTGACTCCACTGGCAATGGCTGAGCCACTGCTAAAGCCCCGGGAGGCTCCGCGGACACTTTGCTGTCTGGCAATCATGGCTGAGAGAGAAGGCAGCTGCGATGAGCGTAGACCAGAAGGGCCAAGTCGAGAATGCCAGAGCCCTTGGCCCTTGTAGCTTATATGGGCTAGAGCAGCAGGGCTTGGTTTCAGGGGCATAAAGGGAAAAATCCGAAACATCCCTGGGCTGGGCCTTTGGCACAGGCCCATCTTTCTTGCACCTGCTGAGCATGTCACTAAACACACCTACAGAAGTCACTGGGAGGGCACAGCTTACGGTCCTATCCCCTCCCTGAGCCAGTGCCCCAGGGCCTCCTGCATCATGGCCCACCTGGCTCAGCCTCGCAAAGCCACACTGCCCTTCAACCTTCCTGGCCTGCTTCATGGGGCTCCTGCTCCAAACAAATAACTCTGTCACCCCTAATTTTATGTCACAGACTCTGGGACCTAAGAACCTGGGTTCCAAGGCACAGCCTGCCACTGACAGGCTACACACCCTGACCCGAGCAAGCTGCTCTCTGAGCTCAGCCTCAGAACTCATAAATAAGAAAGAATGCAAATATTTACTTTTCCTCTGAAGACAAGTGAGATCGTGATCATGGATGGGTGCTCCGAAGGCTGTCACAGCAGCTCTCAGACCTTGTATCCATTGTTCTTATCCTTCATGTGCTCTTGGCCCTGTGTTCACCTGGGAAAGAAGGCTCTTCTCTTACAGTTCCTGCCTAGTAGCCTTTCCAAGAAAGACCCAAAGGAGCTTCTGTCTGGGATTTCACCCTGTGGCCTACAGCCACCCTGGGACTCGCTGAGCTTACCCAGAACATAGCACATTTGGCTTTTCCAATGTGATCCAGAATTCTGGAAAGAAGGACCTAACATTCTCAATGCTGGGGACCACTTTGGCAGAATAGTGATAATTCAGGGCCCCTCCTCTCAACTGTGTATAGGATGCAAAATCCTAGTTTTACTCCTAGAACTTGGCTTCCTCCTAACTGACATATATCAGACTCTATCCATTTCTCACTAAGTAGCTATGCAGCCCTAGGGTGGTCACCTGGCTCTCTGAACCCAGCCAACTCATAAGTAAAACAAGACATGTGCCTGTGCAATGTACCCAAGGTGCCCACTACCTAGGAGGCCAAGAGACATTCATCCTCATCCTGTCCAGGCACTCGGAAATCCAATGCATCTGTGTCCCCTCCTCCATCCATCATTGAGGAAATGACCCAGATGTAAGAAGGAGCATCCACCAGCAACCTAGATAACCCTCCAAGCCTGAGCCACTCCATGTCAAACATATTCCCCAAAAGCTTTCCTGATACATAAAGAACTCAGGGTAAGGGCTGGGGAATAGGAGCGGGGTGGTGAGCATAGTTCAGGCCTTAGGAATGGAGCTACAAAGAAGACCAGACTGGCCAGGAACTCAACTAGCAGTCCTCCCAGCTCTCCCCTCTCCTTTGCCCTGTCCTGCCACTGTCCAGCTGGCCACAGTAAACCTACTCTGGGCCTGGGAGGGCTGGAGCCCAGATGTGCTCAGAAAGCTGGAGCAGATGAGCATAGCAGAACAGACAGGTGCTGCCCCTCTGCCCCCAGTGTTTGCTGGGAACCAGTTTTGAGCCAAGTTCTGTGACTCAGAGGACAAAGGGGCTATGGGACACTAGCATCTAGACCTGTGCATGCCCACCCTAGTCTGGGAGTATGTATGGCTTGGCAGGAAGGTGACAACAACTCCAGATCTCAAGGGCCACCTGATGGGGGCGGTGTTCTGAGAACCACCCTCATTCTGCCCTTCTCTCTACACACATCCCCACATGTCACCTCTATCCTCTACAGGAGCTAAGGCATTGATAGGGGTTTGCCAGATAAAACCCCAGGGGACTCATGACATGCCCCTAGGTCTTGTATGTGGGACTATAATACTCCAAACTTGGGAGAAAATGACAGACGTGCATGGTCATGTCAAGTACTGAACCAAAAAGAGACAGAGTCGGGCAGTGGTGACACACACCTTTAATCCCAGCACCCAGGAGGCAGAGGCAGGGGGATCTCTGCGAGTTCAAGGCCATCCTGGTCTACAGAGAGAGTTCCAGGACAGCCAAGGTAGACAGAGAAACCCTGTCTCAAAAAAAATAAAAAATAAAAATAAGCCAAGAGGGGATTCTCAGAGAAATGACACAAACTACACAACCACCCTCATTTTGTGCCTGGGGTCATCCAAACCACAAAGCCATGACTGAAGATGTCCCTGATGGTTCCTTAAAGTGTATGGCTATCCCTTCAGTCAAAAAGCAGAAGAGGGAAACCCAGTGCATTCTGGGTAGAAGCAACTAACTCTCTTAGAATGTCTGTTGTATGCTGAACACCAGGTGCTTTTCTTCTTGGGACACTTTCATTCTTCTCAGCCATTCCAGCAAAAAGATGTTGAAGGCTCAGAAAGGTTGTATTTCTCTCCTGAGATCCAACAACTCAAAAATAATGGGCATAAGAAGCCAGAACTGTAGGCTTGACCTCAAAGCTCATGACCTTTCTGCACACTGTTTTACATGAGTGTCTCAGCCACCCACAGTTGATGGCCCACCAGAACAGCAGCAGGGTCTTGGGGAAATGCTGCTTGCTCCAGCTCAGCTCCTACTCAGTATGATTGGTGGCTTGGTTTGTGTGACTCCATCCCAACAGGTACCCAGTAAGTCATGACATGATCCTCAAAGGCCAATCTTGTACCTTCCAATTAACTAAGTCCAAATTAATGTAATTGTAACTCCTATGATAAACCCAGACCAAACAAGAAGAATGTTCTGGTCTCAACATATAGCCTGTGAGTTTGTTAAATCAGAATTGCAGACACTTCACAGAATCCTCAACCCATAAATAAGAAACTGCAGATAGACACAAGCAAAAATTACCTTGAGATTATTTAGTCCCTGTGGTAAGAGAGTCAAAGAGAAGTTATTTCCCTTCTACACAGACACAGACAAAGTCAAGCGCCCACCAGGAGGTGACAACTGAACACGAGTCCCACATTTCCGCTGCAGCCCTGTGCACACACAGCCTTTGCTTTTGCTACTGTCCTTGGTGACCCTGCTTCCTTTGGCCATCTGCCCAAGCCTGGCTCTGAAGAGTAAGCCAGGTGCTGTCAGGCATGGAACAGGAGTGGAAAGGGTGTGTTCCTTCAGAGCTTTCTGAAGTGCAGGAGGCGAAGCCTTCCCATTCAATCTGGGATTACAGATCCTGAGGCCTCTGTCACTGTCAGCTCCAACCTGAAGAGCAGTGTGGGAAAGTATCTTGTCTTCCCCAGTCAGGTGGGTGCTCTGACCCCAATGGGTCACCTAATCTCAATTGCCCCATGGCCTGAGTCACTCTGAGGGATCCAGAGCCAGCAGAGGGATCAGAGGCCAGTGTTCCAGGAGGCCCCAGGGAGCTGGGAGGAAGGTAGGGCTCTTGCAGCCAGGGCCAGAAAAGGCCACGGATCAGCTCACTCAGTCTCCTGCCCCTGGCAGATGCCAGTAGGGGTTTTCAACCCTTCCCACAGCCACTCTTGCTGAAGTTTTAAGACTACAGGAACAGAAGCCAGGCTATGGCATACAGTCCTGCCCTTGCAGCTAACTGGCCTTCCCTCCCTACCTGCTGAAGCCCTCGACTAGGAGTGCTTCATGGGGAGGATCCTGGTGTAAAAAGTCTCTTCTGAGCTTGATGACAAACTATGTCACTCAGCTTCTGAGCCCTAAATGTACCTTCAAATGGAGCTGCTTTTTACTCTGCCATTAACTTATTGTAGCTTTCAGGCATAGGTGTTCCCTCCAGACTCCCACCAACAACAGCAGCCTTTCTCTCCCATGAAATAACAGTTTGGACTGACTGACTGCCAATTTGTTTTTCTCAATGGGTGCCATAACCTAATGAGGGGCTTAGGCTTAGGGGCAAATTTCCTTTGGATTCTGCATCCAGCACTGTGGCCCAGAAAAGTTACTTAACCACTCTGTGTCTTATGTTCCTCACCTGGAAATGGGGCTGTCAGAAAGACTGGGTTAGCCTCTCAGAGAATCCAAGTGCCTAAGCTCTCCCTAAAAGTCTAAAAGTGCATGAGGAGCTCCTGGAGGAAGAGCTCAGTGGTGTCAGGGTCATGAGGGTGTTGCTTGCCAAGTCAAGGTGCTGTGTCCCTGGCTGGTTCAGAATCTCTGCTTGTATCCCCCGACCTTGGCACCAACCTTCCTGAGTTCTCTGGGGAGCACAGCTGAGAGCATGGGCTCCTGCTGAGAGTGCCCAGCAGCACTGAGGCAGGAGAGGCTCTGACTGAGCACAGGCTGTGGGGCAAGATGGAACAGTGAAGAAATAGCTGGGCCTCCACCTGTTGCATGTCAATGAGGAGTGGGATTCATGCTGAAGGGGAGATGCAGGGAGCTGAGAAGGAAAGGAGGTGACCTAAGAGACAGGAGGCAGGGAAGGTGGGGGAACCTCAGTAGGAAAGGGACGAGTCTTGAGAAGCTAACTCCTAGGAGCCTCCATTGCCTGAGTTAGAAAATGGAGAGCCCTGTGTCCCTGTTGAATCCTGGAGCAAATTATGCACACGATCCAATTAGATGTGTCTTTGTATTGGTGGCTGGATGAGGGAGACTAGGGGAAAAATCACCAAAGGTGTGTGCAGAGAATCCAGAGGTCCAGGGAAGGGAAGTGAAGAAGGCTTCGGGGAGGGGCTCCCTAAGTCATGAGCTTAGCGTGTTCCCCCCTCACAGTCGCACTTTCTATAAAGGAAGAAACTAGGCTCGGAGATCAGAATTCTGCCCAGGTTCCCAGAGCTAATAGTGGCAAAAGGTGAGAGCTAGCCTGCCTGGTTCTGAAGGCAGGAGTGTAGGAGTTTGCTGATGGCACTAGGCTAGCACCTAGGACATTCCAGCTCCCCAGGGAGACAGACTGGAGTCACAGGCAGTTTGCTGTAGTTGCTCTTTATTGAGACACACATCACAGGCACAGACGGGCTAGGATGTGAGGTGACCAAGATATTCTGATGAGAAGCTGAGGAGGTTGGAGGTCTCTGGGAACCACCACTGTCTCCTCTCTCC